ACTACTGTCCATGAAAAGTCAACGGAGATGACATCGACGGAGAAATGCGCGGAGGTAGAGACAGAAAAGAAGTACAACTTGTAGTGTCCACCCCCACGATTGAACAATTGAATGGAGGTTTGTTCTTGTGAAGAAGAAGAAGCATTCGTTGGTGTTACCATTTGCATTGATGCGCTCAAGCGCCGTCTGTCTACAGGCAAGCTGTAAATCGATACACTTGTCTGCATCGAACAGTATCCTCAATCGATAAGGACACATAGGAGTATCGAGATACGCGTTTACGAGTGTAAATGAACGAGACGTCCGACTTTTGGGTACCCGTTCATGAGAAGCTTTTGTTGCTTCTGGTGTCTCATCCAGTTAAGCTGCAGGATAGGAGGTTGTGGAGTGTTGAATTGTAGGACCTGAAATGCCTTTGATGCGCTTCGAGATTGAAGAAGATATTGCAGCAGCGGAATATCGTGGACGTACATCGGTTCTGATCGTCATGTGTGGTATCCATGTGGTAACGATATCATGTTCCCCATTGTAACCTGAAAAGAAAGCACATGACAAATCAACAAGCGAAACCGGTACAAAGCTGCATCAAAACTCCTCATTACGTGAAAGCTGAATGCAGGATCGATCTATGTGCTGGCTTCGTCGTACATCATTGAACTCGAATGGATGGTTCATCTCGGTCAATAGGGTACAATCAACATGTATGAGCTGTAGATGGTGGCTGGATAAGATGTGCGAGCAGAAGTAAGTATCAATGTGGGCAACGCAGTCATGAGATCGTTTTTCACTCGACTGGAAGGAAGTTGAGACGAAAGGATGTCCACAGGTGTGCTGCCGTTCATTCGTAGTGTATGCTATCATCACAGCGCACGCCAGTACATATTTGATTGCCAGTGCACAGGTTCCAATGGCACGGCAACATATGATCCATGAACCACCGCAAGTACCACGTATCGACAATGGCCTCAACAACGACTGCACGAATGAAACCGGCAATGCTTGGCATTCGAAGCATTAAGAGCAAAAGTGGAACCCAAAACGTATTGACAAGGGTAATAATGTACACAGCTCCGATAGTGAAACTGTGGTTGACATAGCAACGTACCCGTCCACTGAACAGCGATCAAATGGAACCGACTTCAAGGTCATGCCACCATGCAGTTTTGGAGTAAGTGTTGATTGAGTGGATGTGTATCGCGGTTTCAATGAGAGCATCCGTGCTGGAAGTTGTACTCACAAAGAGCAGCTTGGGTACGAGTCTCTACGGACAAGACGGACAGCGCGAGAGGTATGACTTGTTTTTTAATGTGACCACCTACTCTGCACTTTGTTGATCGACTGCGTTTTGATTCTTATCACGACGCTGTCGTCGTACACAAGGAAAGCGACTGCAAAAAGTCGCATCAAGAGGCACAGGAAAAACGCACATTGCGACCAGAATAGATGACACATGTCGACGGTACACGAAAATACGCAGAAAATCCTGCCTTCAATACTAATGAGGGATTGGTATTCAAAGAATGAACGAAGTCGTTGTTCCTCGACTACTGCTGGTATGGTCACAATGGCAAATGGGATATCGACGGCGGCTGAAAAGCTACGGAAACTCGCGACTTCCACACAACATCTGATCACCGACCTGAGCACCGTTGTGCATTCCTCTGACGATGCGGGGTCCGCCAGAAGATCGCAATTCAAGTGGACGACAGTACCCGCCGGAAGGGTGGTGTCATGCGCGTATAGTATCGGAAGACTGGAAGGACCATCGGTTTCGTCTCGACTTTCTAGTCGTCAGTGGAAAAGCATTCGCGAAAAAGAAGGTGAAAAAGACGGGAGTCGGTTCTAGAAAACAGCCACCTCAGGTGTATGACATTTTGAATCGGACGGTTCAAACGCTACTTTCGACAACATTCGATCGAAGCACTTCAACATCATCATGATCGGTCTGCCTCTGTCTGCACGCCAAGAGAGCGGCGACCCACGTCCCCCTTCATTTCCCAATTTGCATCCAACCGCACGATCGACCAGTAGCAACAACCCACACACGACAAAGTTACGCAACCATGTTCAGCTCGTGGGATCTCGTGCGACCGCGCTTCTGGTACCCCATGTCGTCACTCGAACAGTCTATGATGGAGCTCGAGCACATGAGTGACAGCATGATGCGACCGCGCTTCCCTTTTGGGGCGCGTCGAGAGATGCTCGCCACTCAAACTCCAAAGCACGTCATGTACTCCGGGAAGTCGACGGACGATGACGACTTCTTCGTCGACCTGCCTGTGGTGGCACACAAGTACAAGCCGACGGCGTTCCAACCGGTGCAAAACGCACCGCAACAGGATCAACAAGTATCCAGCACCAAGACATTGAAGGATGACGACCCGGTGAGCCACTCATTCTCGTCTTACTCGTTCAGCAACTCGTCTGTTGTGGACGAGAAGGGTCGACGAGTGGCAACGACGCGTCGCCGCTACGAAGACTCCACGGGTCATCTCAAAGCGGTGCATGAACGAGAGATCGACGGAAAGAAGATGCGCACAACTTGGCGACGACAAGGCAAGGGAGATGATGAACAGCACGAGTCCATCTGCTCGAGCGGCAGTCCGGAGGAGTTTGAAGCACTGTGGCAGCAGACGCCATTCGGTGCGGCACAGAAGACGTCAGTGAAAGGCCAGCTGCAGGCCGAGTCAGAAGTTGATCGAGACGTGACACCGTCGATGACACCTGCGCCGCTGGCGGACACTACTGTCCATGAAAAGTCAACGGAGATGACATCGACGGAGAAATGCGCGGAGGTAGAGACAGAAAAGAAGCACAACTTGTAGTGTCCACCCCCACGATTGAACAATTGAATGGAGGTTTGTTCTTGTGAAGAAGAAGAAGCATTCGTTGGTGTTACCATTTGCATTGATGCGCTCAAGCGCCGTCTGTCTACAGGCAAGCTGTAAATCGATACACTTGTCTGCATCGGACGGTATCTTCAATCGATAAGGACACACACGAGTATCGATATACGCGTTTACGAGTGTAAATGAATGAGACGTCCGACTTTTGGGTACCCGTTCATGAGAAGCTTTTTAGCTTCCAGTATCTCAAGCTGCAGGATAGGAGGTTGTGGAGTGTTGAATTGTAGGACTTGAAGCGCCTTTGATGCGCTTCGAGATTGAAGAAGTTGCTGCAACAGCGGAATATCGTGGACTTGCATCGGTTCTGATCGTCATGTGTTATCCATGTGGTAACAATATCATGTTCCCTCAATGTAACCTGAAAAGAAAGCACATGATTGTTGCAAAGAAGGTTAAACCGAAGTGAATATATTGAAGGTCCTTAATTCACTACCCTCAGCTAAGTCTAAGCCTTTATGTAACGAACTCCTCTGATCTCATTATGTAACCGCGATCCATAACATTTATCTATAACCAACACCATGAAACACCCTGACACACAAATCATTACCTTGAACCCAACATGAAACGACTGCATTAAGCGGCGTAAACTCAACACTCCCATTCGCCTCTACTGTGTGCCGGTCTTGGAATCTGGCTTGTCTTAATCCCGGTTGCCTCGCACATAAATTTTATTATCTTGGTTCCGAGTGCCTGTTAAGCGTATCCGCGAGTTGATTTTTCGTGTCAATGTAGTCGATCTTTAATATTACGTCTTGCACATATTCAAGGAACAAAGTGATGTCTAACGTCCACACGCTTTGTCCAAGCGTGGTATACGGGTTTGTTGGCCAAAGCAATCGCTCGTTGATTATCTTCCCACCTCTCACTTGTTCGTGACCCATGTCCTTTAGCATCGCACGCGTCCAAAGAACTTCTTAGGTGCAAAAAATGAGCGTCATACATTCAGCTCCCGTCCAGCTAAGCGCAACCGCTCGCTGCTACTTCGACTTGAACACCACTGGTGCGCTTGCAATCATGGCCATAACTGTAGCGGAGTTACACAGCTCCTTAAGTCAGAGGAAGACTTAACGCTCTACGAGCAGCTTAGTTCCAAAGAACTAACGATTTTACGAGTCAACAAGCTTTACAGCTTCAGATCCCTGTTCCAGGTAACCTAACGATCCAGTGAATCGACAGCATTCAGTGCTCAAGAGTAGCTACCTCAAGGAGGTGTTGCTTACTCTTGGTGATCAGTGATCAACGATCAAGACGACTCGCACGCCACGTGTCCTTTTGATCAAAATGGGAACTGCTTTTATTTTGGTTAAAGCTTATAGAATATCTCAATCCTACTCAAAGACCTTTCGTACTTAATGGCTGACACTCGTCAGCCCCTACAAACCGACAAGATATTCTATATCACCTTCACAAAGGGGTAACTTCAGGTGTGTAACACCTCTGGTACAAAGTACCATAATTTCGTGGAACCCCGTTACACCCTCCCCCACCAGACTGACGTTTACCAAAACGTCAGTCGAGCTTGTGTTCTCAGCGAGAACAGTGTGTGTACGGTAAACCTCACGGCAACGTACGCTCTAGCACGATGTCCTCATCACCCAACGAGTCAAAGACTCTGTGTGACTACCTCGGAATAGAGGAGGCAGTGGACTATGGTAGCGATACCAGTGTCCAGGGTGATACAGGGACAATGTCCGGCTCACTGATGCCTGAGGCACAACTTTCGAACACCCCAAATCCGTTCGCTGAACGTGGAGGTGCGAGCGCGCCACCAGCGCAGCATGCAGCATCTGGTTCTGATGAGACTATCATCGCGAACCCGCTCGATGAGCAACAACAATTGCTTGTCCAAAGAGAAGAAAACGCTCAGCGTTATGTACAAATGGCTGCAACCCTTGAACGCCAGCTTGACTATGTGTTCACCCCACCCAGTGTGGAGGAACGTCTACGTCAAGAGGCCGGCTAAACATTGGCAACGTGGGTCATTGGCCATGGGCCTAAGACTCCTGAGGAGGTGGTGAACTGCCAGGCACTTCGTGAGAGATACCTGGAGCCGCACCTAACGACTCAAAGTCAATACAAGGCACGCCTGACATGCAAGCACGTGGTGCACCGGTTCCACCGATCAAGAGTATACCCATTCTCTTGCTCTCAGGTGAAACAGTGAGCGAAGAAGACGATGCCTTCGTTCATTGGGTGCACTATGTGCGTCGCCTCAGCAACATTTTTGCTCTAAGGGCTAGTGCCCATGCGGCGGATGTGCGTCTCGAACGCAAGCTTCGGTATGATTATGCCGAGCTTAAGGCCAGAGACCAATTGCGCAAGCGCACGCGCTATGCTTCGGCTACTAAGGTCGCCGCGAGTGCTGGTCAGTCTGTGACCAACAACCCGCCAACCCGCACCACTAGTGGTGGGTAACGGCCTCGGTCTCGAGATGACCATGGCTACGATGCTCAAAAGCATCCAATGCATATGGGCAGTCTTGACGAAGGGGTTCCTCAAATTCCCATGAGTTTTCAGACTCAGGGTATCCACGCCACTTTACCAGATACTGATATTGGCCATGACGACGACGTCGTTTTAGTAGTATCTCGACATGAAATTGACGACACCCATGCTCGTCGAGCAAAGTCGGTGGCGGCCGGTGTACCGGTGGAGGCCCACGAAAAATTGGTTCTCGAAGTGAGGGGTCTTCAAGAGGCCTTGGGTAAGTCCCAGTGCATGCCGGATGCGATGCAAAGCCGCCTTCAGGCGATGGAGCAAGCTCAAACTCGGAGCGAGGGTCAGTTGGACTTGCTGATTCGTCTACAGCAATCCGGGGCAGTGCCCTTGTCGTCGGCGCAAGCGCCTCCAAGTTCACATGGGAAGGATCCCGGTACGGCTTAAGTAAGCCTACGTAGAACACTGGATGTGTGCGCAATTTGCGCGGGAGGTTTAGCGTATACGCAAGTCCCTTCTTGGCCGTGACCGTAAACGGTCCAATAAAGCGTGGACGCAACTTTGTCTTAAAGACAGCAGACACTACATTTGTAGGTAGATTTTTAGCATTGAGTAGTACTTGGTCTCCGACCTCGTAAAGATCAATGCAATTTCTGCCTTTGGCATCAGCTTGTTGTTTTTGGGTATCTTGGCTATCAGCCATTGCGTCACGCACATGTCTTAAGACGTTTAATCGCGTTGCGAGAAACTCGCCTACCTGTTTATGAACAGTAGCAGGGATGATATCAGCGAGCCGATCGGCAACCTCTCCCCCCACCAAGCCCTGAATCACGTAGTGATAGCGTTAACGGAACGCGAGGGTGAGTGAGACCGTTTATATAGGACGGAGTAAAGCCTGTTGAGGCATGAACAGCGTTATTCAACGCAAACTCAATAACAGGAAGCATTGAGCTCCAACGCCTAGGCGTACCAGCGCAAACACTGCGCAAACTGTCATTGATTACGCGGTTAACACGCTCAGTTTGACCGTCGGTCTGCGGATGATCCGCTGTGGACATGTCCAACCGAGTGCCAAGAACCTTGAAGATAGACTTCCAAACCTTTTTAGTGAAGCTGGGGTCTCTATCAGAGATAATTGCCACCGGCAAGCCATGTTGGTGAAACACACGGTCGATAAACAGCTTTGCTGTGCCTTCAGCATCAATGCTATCCGGCACAGCCGCTAAGTGAGCCATCTTGCTCAATCGGTCAACATAGACCACAATACCAGTGTCGCCTTCCGATTCTTTCGGTAGGCCAAACACAAAATACATGCTCATGGACTCCCAACAACCAGTGGGTACTGGAAAACTAGCCAGCGGCGCCGCCGAATGTGCCGAGGGTTTTACCCGTTAGCACGTTTTGCACGTACGCACATAGGTGCGCACCCACTTCTAAAGTTTGGGCCACCAATAACTTTGGCTCACCGAGCTATAAGTCTTCTCACGACCGAGATGACCACTTAAAGCAGTATCATGTGCCTCATAGAGGATTCGATACTTTGATTCCTCATAATGAGGTACAGCGATACGAGGCTTATCTTCAATATCCGTGCGATAGCACAACAGGCCATTATCAATGGAATATCGATATAGCCTCGCACAAAAACGTGCCGACAACTCGATGTCCGAGTCTCTAAACTCATCGCTCCCAAGATCACGTAGCAAAGCTACACACTGATCGTCCTTGGCATATGCCGCACAAATTAAGTCAGTGACTGACGACAAAAGAGTCGTAACATGAGCAAGCTCATAGTCAGTTCGACGCGGTAGCGCATCAGCCAAAGCCTTTTGCTTACCTGGCTTGTACTTCACCTCGAAGTCATATTCGGCAAAGAAGGAAAGCCAACGAGCCAATCTCTGCGAGAGATGAGGCGCCTGTGTCGCATTGCATAATGACGCATGATCTGTATCGATCACAAACAGCTTTGAGTCAAGCAGATGTACTCTGAATTTTACAAGAGCGTACTTCATAGCAAGTAGCTCTTTGTCATGAACAGGATAGTTCTTTTCAGCAGTTTTCAGCTGCCGAGACTCAAATGCGATGACGCATTCGCGTCCATCGACATCTGTTTGTAACAGAGCACTGCCTCTGGCGAAGTCAGATGCGTCACAGACGACACTGAAAGGTCGATCAGGATCGGGCAAAGCCAATATTGGCGCATGAAGGAGACTCTCCTTAACTGCTTCAAAAGCATTATGTTCGGTGTTACCCCAACACCAATCCACATCCTTTTAAGGAGATTGGACAATGGCCGAGCCATATCTGCGTAATTTGCACTGTACTTATGTAAGTAATTGGCAAGGCCAAGCCACTTACGTAAGTCCTTTTGGTTCATAGGAAACGGTCAATTGACTATGTCATTTACCTTAGCGGGATCCGCTCGAAGGCCTCGCTTTCTAGTGAAGCTCCCTAGAAAGGGAATCTCTTCTGCACCAAATATGCACTTCGATGCGTTCGCATACAACTTATTCGTTCGCATACACTCGAGCACCGCTCGTAAATGATCGATGTGGTTATCCACATCTGATCGCCCATTCATTGCACTACTAAGGACAAAAATGTCATCAAAGTACGTTTGTGCATAGCCTCGATGAGGTCTGAATAGTTGCGTTACCAGCCGGAGAAACGTAGCCGGGGCATTTAATAGCCCTTGTGGCATAACGAGCCACTCCCAGAGCATACCGCTCGGAGTACTCACTGCTGTTAGTGGAATATCACTTGCTCGCATAAGCAGTTGGTAATAACCATCGACTAAGTCGAGTGCACTGTACAATGTACATCCCGCCATATTGTTCTGAAGAACATCCTTTCTAGGAATAGGCGTCTGCGCCGGAACAGTGGCTGCATTAAGCTTATTGTAAGCATGCACAATACGCCACTTGCCATTTGGCTTTTTGACACAAAATGTCGGTTTTGAATGGGAAGACTTGCTCTCACGAACCATTCCAGCCGCGTGCTTATCACAAAAGAATTCGTCAATGACGTCACACTGTTATTTAGGCAAAGGCCACTGCCGTGTTACACAGTATTTAGTTCCAGGAACCAAGTCAATTTCATGACGTACACCTCTATCGGGAGGTAAGGCAGAAGGTGGGTTGTGATACAACACATCTTGAAATTCCTTAACTAAAGGATAGAACGGATCCAAAGGATCTTTAAGGATCGAAGATCCACTTCGTGAACTAAGTACCGCCTTTGTATCCTCTAGGATAGACTCATCCATTAACGAGGAAAGATTCAACTCAGTATCAGGTCTAATGACCACTAATTCGGATAACTCTCCTGCCTTTGAGGCCTGGCTAAACTCGCAATTAGACATTTTGTCTAGCTCACACAGAGCGTCCACAGATGGAAGGGTTTCGAGGCTCACGTTGCCATTAACCTGACCAGTCACTCCATTAACAAGTGTATATAGTGTATTGCTAATCTCACTGTGAGGACGCCTGGCGCTTTACAGCTGCTACTCGGCGTCTCGATTGTCTCTTCGAGACCTTACACCCCTTAGGGGTCGGGACAATATTGTCCCCATGGTTACTACCAACCATAGTACGCTCTACACGAGAGCTTTTGTCTTGACCGACATTAGGTGTGGTGCCCTCACGGCCGTCCACTCTATACGGCGTATCGCCAACAGTGTCATTACTGACATTAGGTGTGGTGCCCTCACGGCCGCCCACACCATATGGCGAATCGCCAACAACGCCATTACCGGCGCTAAGCGTGGTGCCCTCACGGCCGCCCACACTAAATGGCATATGGCCAAAAATGTCATTACCGACATTCAGTGCGGTGCTCTCACGGCCGACCGCACTCGGTGTAGTTTCACGTGCCTCCATACACACATCAAAGGAATCACATCCTTGATCACTCGGCCCTAGGCCAACCATGCTTTCAGCATGCAGTGACTCGTTATCACAACGAGTACCACTCAACGGAGTACGTGCCGTTTCACTAGTTTTAGACGAGCTAGGCTCGAAACTTACGTTTTTAACGTTGGAGTTAAATAACTCAAACATTCCAATTTCCAGCACATTGACATCTTCTGTCAAAGGCTCGCGCCAATAGTGCTTCTGTTGCCTAGCAAAGCTGGGTTCAAGACTCTCCAAAACTTCGCTAGGAGCATTGCGCGAGGCGCCTTAAGTCTTAGACCTTTAATCGATCCTTGGATCATGGCGCTCAAGCCAAGCCATACCTAGGATGAGATCATATCTCGAGTCTAAATCTAGGACAAGACAGCGCTCAATACTGTCAAAGTCTAAAAACTTTAAACCTAAGTTCAATGAAACTTTAGGCACAGTAACACGACTTCCAGTCGCTAAACGAACCGTGATAGAATCACCCTCATGCGCTGTAAGCGCCTCAGCATACTGTTGAATTCCATGAAGCGAACGACGTCGAGTATAATTGCAAGACGCTCCAAAGTCGAAAAATATCGACCACGGCCTCTCAAAGCCCTTTTTTTTCGTCTCGGCGACTAACAAGCCAGGCTCCATACCAATAGGTACAGAGCTCTTTGGGGCTAAGCTCTGTTTATCTTTACCTTCTAAATGTGTGACAGATTCCGAATCTTCACCGGTAAGTTGACCCGCGCCTACTGGGCCTCGGCATTTCTTTGTGCCATGCCAGACTTATGGATCGGGGTTGAACGTTGTCTTGTAGCCTGACGCAGTTCACGCAAAGGGTTACCATGCTGCAATTGTTTAGTGCTGTCGCACGTTAAACATCGTTGTACGACGCGTTGCTGCTCAGCAGATTGAAGTTCAACTTCGCCTTCATCTTCAGCACAGATGAGATCCATCGGTTCCGGTCTGTTTAAGGCCGGACCACTTGTGGAGTATCTCTCGCAGAGCTAGGGTTGCACCCATTCTAGCCAAGCCTGGCCGACTTGACGTAATGCTCAGCACTAAGAGCAATTCCCACGGCTTTTTCGAACGTAGAGGGGTGAACCCGAAAAACTTCGGTTCTGGCAATTCCAGTACGCAGACCTTCCACGAAGATAGTCACATGAACTGTCTCGAGCAGAGAGTAAAACTGCATTGCAGCCATGAGCGTTCGCAGCTCTTGGACATAGTCCGATAATTCATTCTTACCCTGGCGGGGAGCCAAAAAGCGTGACCGCACGCGGTAAGCCTGGTTAGGTGGAGAAAACACCTGTACCAATTGTGACTTGAGCGACTCCCATGAGCGAAACGCTATGTCCACCGACGTGCTACACGTCGAGGCCCATTCTCTAGCTCTTCCATCGAGCTTCGAGATAGCCAGCGAGACCTGTTGATGGTCAATCGTGATCAGGCCTGATGTCATGGCCATCTCAATCTTACGGATCCAGAGGATGAGGTTCTCACCCTCCTTACCGGAGTAGTTTTTCACTTCCACTCTAAGTGGAAGAGATCTAACCTCTTCGTCTGGTACAGCAGACACATAGCGTGTAGGCATAGCCGACGCTATTTGGTCTTGGACCTGCCCTAAAAGGGTCGCTTCATACTGCATGAAGCTTTCAACACGTGCATTAAGCACCTCAGGTCATTGTGAGACAAACAACTCCACGCACTCTGGACCCAAAGATGCGGTCAACTTATTAAGCGCGACCTTTTAAGCCTCAGAGGGAGTAGAGTTTTCCATCCTCACAGAGGATCAGTCTAATAGACTCAGGCGTAGATTGGCTACTAGTGCTACCAAGTGTGGCGGAGCTACACAGCTTCTTAAGTCAGAGGAAGACTTAACGCTCAAAGAGCAAGTTAGTGCTAAAGAACTGAACCCAATGATTAAACAAGCGTAACGCTTATGGTCCATGTTCCAGAAAACCAAACGATTCAGTGAATCGACAGCACTCAGTGCTCAAGAGTAGCTACCTCAAGGAGGTGTTACTAACTCTTAGTGATCAGTGATCAACGATCAAGATAACTCGCACGCCACGTGTCCTTTAGATCAAAATGTAAACTGCTTTTATTTGATGTTGAAACTTATAGAATATCTTAATCCTACTCAAAGATCTTTCGTTCCTAATGGATTACACTCGTCAGCCCCAACAAACCGATAAGATATTCGATATCACCTTCACAAAGGGGTACCATCAGGTGTGCGACACACCTGGTACAAAGTACCCTTCTACGTGCAACCCCTTTTTTAGCAACCATCTACAGCTTATACATGTTGATTGTACCCTATTGACCGAGATGAACCATCCATTCGAGTTCAATGATGTACGACGAAGCCAGCACATAGATCGATCCTGCATTCAGCTTTCACGTAATGAGGAGTTTTGATGCAGCTTTGTACCGGTTTCGCTTGTTGATTTGTCCTGTGCTTTCTTTTCAGGTTACAGTGGGGAACATGATATCGTTACCACATGGATAACACATGGCGATCAGAACCGGTGTAAGTCCACGATATTCCGCTGTTGCAGCAACTTCTTCAATCTCGAAGCGCATCAAAGGCATTTCAGGTCCTACAATTCAACACTCCACAACCTCCTATCCTGCAGCTTGGAGATACTGGAAGCTAAAAAAGCTTCTCATGAACGGGTACCCAAAAGTTGGACGTCTCATTCATTTACACTCGCGTACGCGTATCTCGATACTCGTGTGTGTCCTTATCGGCTGAGGATACCGTCCGATGCAGACAAGTGTATCGACTCGCAGCTTGCCTGCAGATAGACGGCGCTTGAGCGCATCAATGCAAATGGTAACACCAACGAATGCTTCTTCTTCTTCACAAGAACAAACCTCCATTCAATTGTTCAATCATGGTAGTGGACACTACAAGTTGTACTTCTTTTCTGTCTCTACCTCCGCGCATTTCTCCGTCGATGTCATCTCCGTTGACTTTTCATGGAAAGTAGTGTCCGCCAGCGGCGCTGGTGTCATCGACGGTGTCACGTCTCGATCAACTTCTGACTCGGCCTGCAGCTGGCCTTTCACTGACGTCTTCTGTGCCGCACCGAATGGCGTCTGCTGCCACAGTGCTTCAAACTCCTCCGGACTACCGCTCGAGCAGATGGACTCGTGCTGTCCATTCTCTCCCTTGCCTTGTCGTCGCCAGGTCGTGCGCATCTTCTTTCCGTTGATCTCTCGTTCATGCACCGCTTTGAGATGACCCGTGGAGTCTTCGTAACGGCGACGCGTTGTTGCCACTCGTCGACCCTTCTCGTCCACAACAGACGAGTTGCTGAACGAGTAAGACGAGAACGAGTGGCTCATCGGGTCGTCATCCTTCAATGTCTTGGTGCTGGATACTTGTTGATCCTGTTGCGGTGCGTTTTGCACCGGTTGGAACGCCGTCGGCTTGTACTTGTGTGCCACCACAGGCAGGTCGACGAAGAAGTCGTCATCGTCCGTCGACTTCCCGGAGTACATGACGTGCTTTGGAGTTGGAGTGGCGAGCATCTCTCGACGCGCCCCAAACGGGAAGCGCGGTCGCATCATGCTGTCACTCATGTGCTCGAGCTCCATCATAGACTGTTCTAGTGACGACATGGGGTACCAGAAGCGCGGTCGCACGAGATCCCACGAGCTGAACATGGTTGCGTAACTTTGTCGTGTGTGGGTTGTTGCTACTGGTCGATCGTGCGGTTGGATGCAAATTGGGAAATGAAGGGGGACGTGGGTCGCCGCTCTCTTGGCGTGCAGACAGAGGCAGACCGATCATGATGATGTTGAAGTGCTTCGATCGAATGTTGTCGAAAGTAGCGTTTGAACCGTCCGATTCAAAATGTCATACACCTGAGGTGGCTGTTTTCTAGAACCGACTCCCGTCTTTTTCACCTTCTTTTTCGCGGATGTTTTTCCACTGACGACTAGAAAGTCGAGACGAAACCGATGGTCCTTCCAGTCTTCCGATACTATACGCGCATGACACCACCCTTCCGGCGGGTACTGTCGTCCACTTGAATTGCGATCTTCTGGCGGACCCCGCATCTTCAGGAGAATGCACAACGGTGCTCAGGTCGAGGATCAGATGTTGTGTGGAAGTCGCGAGTTTCCGTAGCTTGTCAGCCACCGTTGATATCCCAGTTGCCATTGTGACCATACCAGCAGTAGTCGAGGAACAACGACTTCGTTCATTCTTTGAATACCAATCCCTCATTAGTACTGAAGCCAGTGTTTCTACATGTATTCGTGTACTGTCGACATGTGTCATCTACTCTGGTCGCAATGTGCGTTTTTCCTGTGCCTCTTGATGCGACTTTTTGCAGTCGCTTTTCTTGTGTACGACGACAGCGTCGTGATAAGAATCAAAATGCAGTCGATCAACAAATTGCAGAGTAGGTGGTCACATTAAAAAACAAGTCATACCTCTCGCGCTGTCCGTCTTGTCCGTGGAGACTCGTACCCAAGCTGCTCTTTGTGAGCACAACTTCCAGCACGGATGCTTTCATTGAAACCGTGATACACATCCACTCAGTCAACACTTACTCCGAAACTGCATGGTGGCATGACCTTGAAGTCGGTTCCATGTGATCGCAATTCGGTGGACGGGTACGTTGCTTTGTCAACTACCGTTTCACTGTCGAAGCTGTGTACATTACCCTTGTCAATACGTTTTGGGTTCCACCTTTGCTCTTAATGCTTCGAATGCCAAGCATTGCTGGTTTCATTCGTGCAGTCGTTGTTGAGGCCATTGTCGATATATGGTACTTGCCGGGTTCATGGATCATGTGTTGCCGTGCCATTGGAACCTGTGCACTGGCGATCAAATATGTACTGGCGTGCGCTGTGATGATAGCATACACTACGAATGAACGGCAGCACACCTGTGGACATCCCTTCGTCTCAGCTTCCTTCCAGAAGAGCGAAACACGATCTCATGACTGCGTTGCCCACATTGATATTCACTTCTGCTCACACATCTTATCCAGCCACCATCTACAGCTTATTCAAGTTGATTGTACCCTATTGACCGAGATGAACCATCCATTCGAGTTCAATGATGTACGATGAAGCCAGCACATAGATCGATCCTGCATTCAGCTTTCACGTAATGAGGAGTTTTGATGCAGCTTTGTACCGATTTCGCTTGTTGATTTGTCTTGTGCTTTCTTTTTAGGTTGCATTGAGGAACATGATATCGTTACCACATGGATAACACAAGGCGATCAGAACCGATGTAAGTCCACGATATTCCGCTGTTGCAATATCTTCTTCAATCTCGAAGCGCATCAAAGGCATTTCAGGTCCTACAATTCAACACTCCACAACCTCCTATCCTGCAGCTTAACTGGATGAGACACCAGAAGCGAAAAAAAGCTTCTCATGAACGGGAACCCAAAAGTCGGACGTCTCATTCATTTACACTCGCGTACGCGTATCTCGATACTCGTGTGTGTCCTTATCGGTTGAGGATACTGTTCGATGCAGACAAGTGTATCGACTCGCAGCTTGCCTACAGATAGACGGCGCTTGAGCGCATCAATGCAAATGGTAACACCAACGAATGCTTCTTCTTCACAAGAACAAACCTCCACTCAATTGTTCAATCGTGGGGGTGGACACTACAAGTTGTGCTTCTTTTCTGTCTCTACCTCCGCGCATTTCTCCGTCGATGTCATCTCCGTTGACTTTTCATGGACAGTAGTGTCCACCAGCGGCGCAGGTGTCATCGACGGTGTCACGTCTCGATCAACTTCTGACTCGGCCTGCAGCTGGCCTTTCACTGACGTCTTCTGTGCCGCACCGAATGGCGTCTGCTGCCACAGTGCTTCAAACTCCTCCGGACTACCGCTCGAGCAGATGGACTCGTGCTGTCCATTCTCTCCCTTGCCTTGTCGTCGCCAAGTTGTGCGCATCTTCTTTCCGTCGATCTCTCGTTCATGCACCGCTTTGAGATGACCCGTGGAGTCTTCGTAGCGGCGACGCGTCGTTGCCACTCGTCGACCCTTCTCGTCCACAACAGACGAGTTGCTGAACGAGTAAGACGAGAACGAGTGGCTCATCGGGTCGTCATCCTTCAATGTCTTGGTGCTGGATACTTGTTGATCCTGTTGCGGTGCGTTTTGCACCGGTTGGAACGCCGTCGGCTTGTACTTGTGTGCCACCACAGGCAGGTCGACGAAGAAGTCGTCATCGTCCGTCGACTTCCCGGAGTACATGACGTGCTTTGGAGTTGGAGTGGCGAGCACCTCTCGACGCGCCCCAAAAGGGAAGCACGGTCGCATCATGCTGTCACTCATGTGCTCGAGCTCCATCATAGACTGTTCTAGTGACGACATGGGGTACCAGAAGCGCGGTCGCACGAGATCCCACGAGCTGAACATGGTTGCGTAACTTTGTCGTGTGTGGGTTGTTGCTACTGGTCGATCGTGCGGTTGGATGCAAATTGGGAAATGAAGGGGGACGTGGGTCGCCGCTCTCTTGGCGTGCAGACAGAGGCAGACCGATCATGATGATGTTGAAGTGCTTCGATCGAATGTTGTCGAAAGTAGCGTTTGAACCGTCCGATTCAAAATGTCATACACCTGAGGTGGCTGTTTTCTAGAACCGACTCCCGTCTTTTTCACCTTCTTTTTCGCGGATGTTTTTCCACTGACGACTAGAAAGTCGAGACGAAACCGATGGTGTAACGGGGTGAATCGTTACATAACAATTTATAAGAAATTGTTAATAGAATATAACTATAAGAGTTATATTCTCAGAATATTGTCATAAGGACAATATTCTGTAGCACTTCAAGTAGTTCCTAATTGGTTGATATAGGCCATTATATCAACCAACGAAGACTGCCACGACAGACGCACGCAATGAGTGGTGAGCAGATAACTGATTTACACATTTGTATTTAGACATAGTTAGATGAAGATAAATAGTGATTTATTGCAGACATTAACTATTATAAATACAGTTCTACTTTTACTCTAACCGAGTACTCGCTTCTTCTTACCGTCTTCCTCTGCACGTACGAGTGTACGTGAAGTTACGAGGCACCGCCTTATTCTGTTATCAGAATAAGTAGCTTGTACTGTCACCAGTACAAGCTTCAGGGTGCCCCGTTACACCTGGTAGCACTTCGTAGTCCGTCCAAGGACCGCGTTCACATCCAACATGAATATGTTGGATGATGAAAGATGACCAAAGCTTTCACGCTACGCGTGACGGCTACTCCCATTTGAGCGATGTCGAATGGGATGCGGTTGAACGAATGGGTTCGACCATGGGCATCCATGCTGTTAGCGTCATGCTAGAGGCTCTCAATAGAGATGCCCAACATGCTACTATCGCCAAGTTCATTCAAAATGAACTTGACGCAGAACGCAGAGAAAGTAGCCTTGCTTCACCAACAAGGTTCTCAACAAGCAGAGTTGTTGAGAGAACAAGGTGCTCAACAGTTTGAACTGTTGAGACAGCAGCAGGCTGCTGCTGGCGGGTCGATGCACTCGCGTCGGCCCGAGACTTTGAAGATTGACATCTCAAAGTATAGGGGGTCGAAGAAGACTCCCTCTTGAGATGGTTCGTCGAGGTGGATGACGCCATAAGGGCGCGTCGCATCGACGACGGGGATATGCAAGTTGCATTTGCCCAGTCAAATCTGGCAGGACGTGCCAAGACTTGGGCACTGGGGCTCAAGCTGCACGACCCATATGCGTTTGGGTCGTTGGAAGTCTTCAAGTCGCGGCTCAGACAAACGTTTGAACCGCCTAGAGCTGAGTTCAGAGCTCGAACCGAACTCTTGAAGCTCAAGCAGGGTAAGCGTGATGTGCACGCTTACGCTCAACATATACGACATCTCACGAGTTGTATAAGTTCCAATCCGGTGGATGAACACACGTTGGTTTCGGTGTTCATGCGGGGTCTTGCGGATGGTCCCGTCAAGACTCACCTGTTCCGGCTTGAACTAGATTCACTAGAACAAGCCATTTCAATTGCGGAGCAGGAAGACTTCAGTCTGAGACAGGCTCGCGCCAGCTCGACATCATATCGTCAACCGAGACGATATGACAACGGAGGTCCAGAGCCGATGGAACTCTGTTATGTAGAGAGCGAGAAGGCTCGCTCTACAGGCTACAAGAAGTTGCAGAGATGCAACAGATGTCAAAAGACAGGACACTACGCTTACGAGTGTAGTGCCCCTCGTCCAGTGTCTCGCGACACTGGGCGTAGTGACCGTCCACCCATGAGAAAGGGGCAGGGACGAGGGTCCGCAGTTGGTGCAAAAGACGCAACAACGGGATGGACCGTCAAAAAACGGACAGGATCAGTAGGTGCGGAGCACCCTGCTGATCCAGCAACGTCAAGAGAATTTGTAGGCCTCTTGATGAAGGTTGCTCCCAACACACAGACATTGTGCGTTGCTGCTCTAGGTAATGAGATCTCACTCATTACCTTGAAACTCGAAGTGACGAATAAGTTGTCCCTTCGAGCTCTAGTCGATTGTGGGGCGTCCAACAATTTTGTGCGACGCCAATCGCTAGAAGATGGTCACTTTAAATTCAGTGAATGTGACACACCTCCTACGAGGATGACGGTACGTCTTGCGACAGGCGCATCCGTAACCGTCATGAAGCGTATAGTGAAGATTCACTATACGCTAGAAGATACCCAATACGACGATGACTTTATCGTATTGGATTTGGATGACAAATTTGATGTCATCCTTGGAATACCGTGGCTCAGAAGGTACGAACCACGGGTAAACTGGCAACATCGGACAGTAACGATGCCTGCCGCTTGTTCATCAGATGGCCATCTGATGAACGTTTTGGAAACGTCCACAAGCGTGTGGATGTACTACGAGTGAGTGCGATGGCCTCACTTGTGGTACGGTCGTTAGTACGACTGCACAAAACCTTAGTGTACCAAACGGTTACACTTCGGAGCAAAGTTCCGGCGGCTGTGAGGAAACACAGGCTGCGCCGAAGGTCCACCACTCGAATAAGTCGGGTGGACTGGGACAAAGATGTATCCCTAGAGGGGAACATCTAGAAGAGAAACAATCGATCGCTCAGGTTAAGCGAAACGATAATCCTAGATCGACTGGAGAGTCTTTCGTAGAGGATCTCGCTGTGGTTGCGCAACCCCAGCTAGAGGAAGTAAAGGGAATAAGTCCCAAGATTACAAATACGGCGGAAATAAGTTCCCCGAAACCCGCGGGAATAAGTCCCCGGGAAGACGAAGGAATAAGTCCTTCGAAGCCTGAGGGAATAAGTCCCCAGGAAATGACAGAGACATTGAATGTCATAGTCAATAACGGATCATGTGTAGGCGCTTATACACTTGATCTGATTGCGCCTCCGAAGTTAACTTCGGAGATCACTCAGTTGCCAACGCTCGAACATAAAAGGTTCTTGCGTGATCTGCGTAGTGGCAAAGTCAAGCAGATCTGCATACTCGTCGCTGACGACGAGTATGTAACCGACATAAGGTCAGCAACAGTGTTTACTGAGAACGAGAGAGTTCTCAGTAGTTCATCTATGGACGAGAGTGTCCTAGATGAAAAGACACGAATTGAGCGATATGAGTCCCAATCATGGGAATCGCTCAAGGAAAATCCTCTCTATGAAGATTTGGTTGAATTCAAGGATGTATTCCCTGAAACTGTTCCGTGCGAATTACCGAAGGATAAAGGTATTCGACACGAAGTCGAGCTTAAACCAGGCTCGAAGTACTGTGTCATGAAGCAGTGGCCACTGCCTCGTGAACAAGTACTTGCGATCGACAAGTTCTTTGCCGATCGTTTAGCAGCGGGCCATGTGAGGGAATCAACTTCCCCACATAGCTCTCCGACCTTCTGTGTGCGAAAAGCAACAGGAGGGTGGCGGATAGTGCACGCGTTTAACAAATTGAACGCTGCAACGGTACCGGCTCAGACGCCGATACCGAGGAAGGACGTAATCATTGATGGTATGTCAAAGAGTACCATCTTTTCGTCCATGGATTTGATGGATGGCTTCTATCAAATCCTAATGCGGAACAGGATATACCCTATACCGCAGTTAGCACGCCTAGCGGCATGCTCTGGGAATGGCTAGTAATGCCACAAGGGCTCAGTAATGCCCCTGCCACGTTCAACAGGTGTGTATCACATCTGTTGAGGCCAGTACGAGAATTCGCGCCGAGTTATTTCGATGACGTATTCATCCATAGTCGAGCTATGGATGGAAAGTCAGACGTTGAGGTTCACAAGTACCACGTCCGACAAGTTCTTACAATCATGCGAAAGCATCAATTGTATGCAAACCTCAAGAAGTGTATATTTGCAGCAAGCGAAATACCACTTCTTGGGTGCATCGTTAGTAAGAACGGTGTACGTCCTGATCCCGAAAAGATCAAGGCGATCACCGACTGGCCCGTGCCGGTCGATGTCAAAGGTCTTCGAAAATTCCTTGGGCTAGCGGCGTATTTGCATAAGTATTCACGCAATTACGCCGAGATGACTGTACACCTCTCTCGTTTGTTGAAAAAGAACGAGAGGTGGTTATGGAACGCTGAATGTCAACGCTCCTTTGAGGGTATCAAGCAGAGCTTGATACAATCCCCAGTCCTAGCAATAGCCGATCAGGACAGGCCATTTCATGTGGTCTGTGATGCCAGCGATTTCGCAATCGGCTGTGCATTAATGCAGTACGACCTTGAAGGCGTTGAACGCGTCGTCTGCTATCAGTCGCGTCAGCTGCAACCAGCTGAGCGGAACTATCCAGTGCATGACAAGGAACTCCTTGCCATGAAGTATGCACTCGCGAAGTTCAGAGTCTATCTATTAGGAGATAGACCCTTCGTTGTTTACACTGACCATGCGTCCTTACGCACGGCAGTGAACAGCCCGCACCTTTCACAACGAATGGCGCGGTGGTTGTCATTCTTTGCAGAATACAACTTTACGGTCGAGTACAAACCAGGACGACTTAATGTCGTCGCTGATGCACTCTCACGTCGTCCCGACTTTGAAACAGTCGCGAAACCCAACAGTGAGACAGTCACTGTTGCGGTTATGACGTCCTCAGTTCCATCTACAACGTTGTATGATGATGTGAGGCGGGCATACGCCCAAGATGGTGAGATAGTGAAGTTGTTGTCACATCTCTCCCAACCATCTCGAGAATCGTTGAAACGATTGTCGTCTGCGTATCGATCTGCATCAGATCGATACACTACTCGTAACGGTTTACTGTACTATACAGCCGTTTCTGGTGACACACCACGTGTTGTCATTCCAGATGATACTGATCTGCGTTTGCGGATCATGTTCGAGATATCACGATGCTCCTATAGGAGGACATCGTGGCCGAGGAAAACATATCTCACGGTAAGTCGAGACTTTTACTGGCCCCGCCAGTATCAGTTTGTGCGAAAGTATGTTCGCGCATGCGAAGTCTGCCAACGAGTGAAGTCAAGTCCTTCACTGCGTGCACCTTTACAGCCTCTACCGGTTCCGGCTGAGTGCTGGGAATCCATCTCAATGGATTTCGTCTTCGGAGTTACCCAAAGACGCACGCGGGAATACAGGTATTCTCGTATTTGTTGACAGATTCAGCAAAATGGTACACCTTGTGGCTGTACCAGAGACAATCACGGCAAGTGGCTGTGCTTGTGTCTTTATTGACACCATCTTCCGACTTCATGGGTTGCCCCGTGAACTCGTATCAGACAGAGATCCACGATTCACTGCTGATTTCTGGCGTTCCGTGTTCAAATCACTCGGAACGCGCTTGAAGATGTCAACATCTGATCATCCAGAGTCAGATGGTCAGACGGAACGTGCCAACCGTGTCCTCGAAGAGATACTTCGAGGATACGTACACTCCTTTAAAAGTTGGAGTGAGTTTTTGCCAATGGTAGAGTTTGCCATCAACAACTCGGTGCATGCGTCCACGACACATACACCGTTTTACGTGAATGGCTTGCGCCATCCGCGTGTACCCACCTTACTAGAGTGTAACTCTGGTTTAAGGGGGAGGGACTCGCGCGAGCAAAAACCGATTTGGTTCACGCTCATCACGCTCTGACGAAGAAGTCATTGCGTTTGATGCCGATATCGATAACATCGATATCGAAGAAGATGATGCCAGTGAGAGTGCGGAAGCCCTCACTGAAGACAATGATCCCAGTGAGAGTGCGGAAGCCCTCACTGAAGAAAAGGTTGTTGTCGCTGCAGTGCGCTCACAGCACACTGAAGCTAACGAGTCATCAGATGAGTTCATACTGGCTCGTGAAACGGTAGTCCGTTTTGTGCAAGACTCCATCGCCGAAGCGGTGGATAAGCAAAAGCAAAACGCTGACAAGAATGGAAGGGCAAACACTCTTTTATTTAATAAAGGTGACTTAGTCCTACTGTCTACGGTTAATCTACCAAAACATGTAGTGACTAACTTGGGTAGCAGTAAACTACTACCCAAGTACATTGGCCCATTTCGTGTATTGCACCGCCTAGGCAATGCATACACGATCGAGTTACCACGTAAGATGCGAACGCATCCCACGTTTTACGTTGGTCGGCTTAAGCCGTACCATCAGTACGCTGCTTCTTCCGATGAAGAACGCCCTTGCGCTCAAGCATCTCGCAGAGAGCCTTGTGCTCCCGATGGTGGGCATCAACAAGGGTCTGAAGAGCAGTTATCTCAGCCCGAGACCGATCAACAATCCCACGAGCTACCCTTAGCTCGTCACGAAGATGTCAGAGATCTCTCGTTCTCAAGCTGAGCAAAGGCAAACTCAGCTCGATGCTTCGAGGCAGTGTCCACCATCTGGAGACGCCTATTCCGCTCATGCTCGAGATCGTCGCGTAACCCTTGCGTTACGCGATCAAAGCTCTCGGGAACACACCGATCCACATGATCGTGTGGAGAGCGTCTTTCCTCCTCCTCCACCTCCATTAGAGGACTCTCGCGGTGGCCAGCGCTATCTAGTTGAGCAGCTGTTGAACCACCGCGACGTGAACTGGACGTCGGACGAGTTACCTCGTCCGGTGGCGCAACTATCCCCCGTCCTGGGATTCTTGGGAGCCCCGCTCCCAATTGATGGTTGACGTACTGGGTCTGGTCGAGCAGTACGACGCGACACATCCTGTGCCGCAGAAGGACCGCCGGAGAAAGTCTTCCCGGCACGGTCGTAAAGGGATTTCAGGTTGTCAATCCCTTCGTACATCTCAGTAGAGACACGTACGCGCCACCACGGGCTGGTAAGGAGGTAAGCCTCCTTAGGTGCTCGTGCAGAGTTGTTCACACAACATGGGCACGAGTCTCCCCAAGAGAGGCAGGGTAATCCTTTCTCCCTTGACAGACGATGCAGCTTATAGCGTGCACCTGTCGGGGTTCGCTTTTCAAACTTATCACGAGCTTTGATAAGTTTGTCGTTCCAAGCGTCACGACCTACATCCTCGAGATTATGGATGTAGGCGTTCCACGCCTGAGTAGTGAGGGACCATCACGTTTGTGATTCCCACTGTACCATCGATGTCTGAAGAAAGCATCGATGAAGAACTCATGTTCAGCGCGATAGTCTTTCGCGCTGGGGTCAAGTGATGGATCCTTGACGAATCGAACAATCGTGTTCGATAACGATCACTCGTCGTCGCCGACAAGTGATCCATGACGGATTTAGGAGGCATCCATGCCTTCTTTTCTGGAGCGAGACGCAACACATTGCGGTCCCGCTCTTCCTGCGACGTGCCGACAGAAGTACTGGCACCTCGCTGTGAAGTGGTGTCCATTGGAGAACCGACACCACTATTAGCGCCCGAGTCTCGCGACCTCGAGCGCCTTCGCTTCGGCGATGGTTCATCTGACTCATCAGATGAACCAAAGATGCTGCGACGCAAAGCATCGTCCATGCCACGCTTGGCAGGCGGCTTGGATTCAATTGCCGTCGATACGGATCCGTCATCCGTATCAGGAGAGTACGAGACACCGAGCTCGTACTCTGTGAAGACACGAGTGTCTTCATGACCAGCGCCTGCATCACCAGGTGATACAGGCTGAGTCGATTCAGCAACCGATGGGATATCAGTTGCTGTAGTTTCTGCTTCGGCGTCCGCACAGAGACGTGCAGACGCGCTCTCGGCGGCCTTGCTCGCGCATCGCATGGGCTTGTTTACCATGCGATGAGATGTTGGAAAGTGGACGCGGACCAACAAGTGCAAACCCCGTCCCAAATGATTTGGGACGAGTATCACCATTTAGTCAATCAGTCACTAAAGTGACTGATGGTTAAGGGGGGTGATGTAACGGGGTGAATCGTTACATAACAATTTATAAGAAATTGTTAATAGAATATAACTATAAGAGTTATATTCTCAGAATATTGTCATAAGGACAATATTCTGTAGCACTTCAAGTAGTTCCTAATTGGTTGATATAGGCCATTATATCAACCAACGAAGACGCGCCACGACAGACGCACGCAATGAGTGGTGAGCAGATAACTGATTTACACATTTGTATTTAGACATAGTTAGATGAAGATAAATAGTGATTTATTGCAGACATTAACTATTATAAATACAGTTCTACTTTTTACTCTAACCGAGTACTCGCTTCTTCTTACCGTCTTCCTCTGCACGTACGAGTGTACGTGAAGTTACGAGGCACCGCCTTATTCTGTTATCAGAATAAGTAGCTTGTACTGTCACCAGTACAAGCTTCAGGGTGCCCCGTTACAGATGGTCCTTCCAGTCCTCCGATGCTATACGCGCATGACACCACCCTTCCGGCGGGTACTGTCGTCCACGTGAATTTCGATCTTCTTGCGGACCCCGCATCTTCAGAAGAATGCACAACGGTGCTCAGGTCGAGGATCAGATGTTGTGTGGAAGTCGCGAGTTTCCGTAGCTTTTCAGCCGCCGTCGATATCCCATTTGCCATTGTGACCATACCAGCAGTAGTCGAGAAACAACGACTTCGTTCATTCTTTGAATACCAATCCCTCATTAGTACTGAAGGCAGTGTTTCTACATGTATTCGTGTACTGTCGACATGTGTCATCTACTCTGGTCGCAATGTGCGTTTTTCCTGTGCCTCTTGATGCGACTTTTTGCAGTCGCTTTTCTTGTGTACGACGACAGCGTCGTGATAAGAATCAAAATGCAGTCGATCAACAAATTGCAGAGTAGGTGGTCACATTAAAAAACAAGTCATACCTCTCGCGCTGTCCGTCTTGTCCGTGGAGACTCGTACCCAAGCTGCTCTTTGTGAGCACAACTTCCAGCACGGATGCTTTCATTGAAACCGTGATACACATCCACTCAGTCAACACTTACTCCGAAACTGCATGGTGGCATGACCTTGAAGTCGGTTCCATGTGATCGCAATTCGGTGGACGGGTACGTTGCTTTGTCAACTACCGTTTCACTGTCGAAGCTGTGTACATTACCCTTGTCAATACGTTTTGGGTTCCACCTTTGCTCTTAATGCTTCGAATGCCAAGCATTGCCGGTTTCATTCGTGCAGTCGTTGTTGAGGCCATTGTCGATATATGGTACTTGCCGGGTTCATGGATCATGTGTTGCCGTGCCATTGGAACCTGTGCGCCGGCAATCTAATATGTACTGGCGTGCGCTGTGATGATAGCATACACTACGAATGAACGGCAGCACACCTGTGGACATCCCTTCGTCTCAGCTTCCTTCCAGAAGAGCGAAACACGATCTCATGACTGCGTTGCCCACATTGATATCCACTTCTGCTCACACATCTTATCCAGCCACCATCTACAGCTTATTCAAGTTGATTGTACCCTATTGACCGAGATGAACCATCCATTCGAGTTCAATGATGTACGATGAAGCCAGCATATAGATCGATCCTGCATTCAGCTTTCACGTAATGAGGAGTTTTGATGCAGCTTTGTACCGATTTCGCTTGTTGATTTGTCATGTGCTTTCTTTTTAGGTTACATTGAGGAACATGATATCGTTACCACAAGGATAACACACGGCGATCGGAACCGATGTAAGTCCACGATATTCCGCTGCTGCAATATCTTTTTCAATCTCGAAGCATATCATAAGGCATTTCAGATCCTACAATTCAACACTCCACAACCTATCCTGCAGCTTAAAGGGGTGAAATAACTAGAACCAAAAAACGGTTCTCATGAAGGATGTAGCGGAGCTACACAGCTCCTTAAGTCAGAGGAAGACTTAACGCTCAAAGAGCAGCTTAGTTCTGAAGAACTAACGACTTAACGAGTTAACAAGCTTTACAGCTTCAGATCCCTGTTCCAGGTAACCTAACGATCCAGTGAATCGACAGCATTCAGTGCTCAAGAGTAGCTACCTCAAGGAGGTGTTGCTTACTCTTGGTGATCAGTGATCAACGATCAAGACGACTCGCACGCCACGTGTCCTTTTGATCAAAATGGGAACTGCTTTTATTTTGGTTAAAGCTTATAGAATATCTCAATCCTACTCAAAGATCTTTCGTACCTAATGGCTGACACTCGTCAGCCCCTACAAACCGACAAGATATTCTATATCACCTTCACAAAGGGGTAACCTCAGGTGTGTAACACCTCTGGTACAAAGTACCATATAATTTCGTGGAACCCCGTTACACCCTCCCCCACCAGAATGACGTTTACCAAAACGTCAATCAAACTTGTGTTCTCAGCGAGAACAGTGTGCGTACGATAAACCTCACGGCAACGTACGCTCTATCACAATGTCCTCATCACCAAACGAGTTAAAGACTCTGTGTGACTACCTCGGAATAGAGGAGGCAGTGGACTATGGTAGCGATACCAGTGTCCAGGGTGATACAGGGACAATGTCCGGCTCACTGATGCCTGAGGCACAACTTTCGAACACCCCAAATCCGTTCGCTGAACGTGGAGGTGCGAGCGCGCCACCAGCGCAGCATGCAGCATCTGGTTCTGATGAGACTATCATCACGAACCCGCTCGATGAGCAACAACAACTGCTTGTTCAAAGAGAAGAAAACGCTCAGCGCCATGTACAAATGACTACAATTCTTTAACGCCAGCGTGACTATGTGTTCACCCCACCCAGTGTGGAGGAACATCTACGTCTAGCGGCCGGCCAAACATTGGCAACGTGGGTCATTGGCCATGGGCCTAAGACTCCTGAGGAGGTGGTCAGCTGCCAGGCACTTCGTGAAAGGTACCTGGAGCCGCACCTAACGACCCAAAGTCAATACAAGGTACGCCTTGACATGCAAGCACGTGGTGCACCGGTTCCACCGATCAAGGGTATACCCATTCTCTTGCTCGCAGGCGAAACAGTGAGCGAAGAAGACGATGCCTTTGTTCATTGGGTGCACTATGTGCGTCTCCTCAGCAACATTGTTGCTCTAAAGGCTAGTGTCCATGCGGCGGATGTGCGTCTCGAACGCAAGCTTCGGTATGATTATGCCAAGCTTAAGGCCAGAGACCAATTGCGCTAGGGCACGCGATATGCTTCGGCTACTAAGGTAGCCGCGAGTGCTGGTCAGTCTTGGGCCAACAACCCGCCAACCCGCACCACTAGTGGTGGGGAACGGCCTCGGTCTCGGGATGACAATGGCTACGATGCTCAAAAGCATCCAAAGCATATGGGCAGTCTTGCCGAAGGGGTTTCTCAAATTCCCATGAGATTTCAGACTCAGGGTACCCACGCCACTTTACCAGATACTGGTATTGGCCCTGACGACGACGTCGTTTTAGTAGTATCTCGACATGAAATTGACGACACCCATGCTCGTCGAGCAAAGTCGGTGGCGGCCGGTGTACCGGTGGAGGCCCACGAGAAATTGGTTCCCGAAGTGAAGGGTCTTCAAGAGGCCTTGGGTAAGTCCCAGTGCATGCTGGATGCGATGCAAAGCCGCCTTCAGTCGATGGAGCAAGCTCAAACTCGGAGCGAGGGTCAGTTGGACTTGTTGATTTGCCTACAGAAATCCGGGACAGTGCCCTTGTCGTCGGCGCAAGCGCCTCCAAGTTCACATGGGAAGGATCCCGGTACGGCTTAAGTAAGTCTACGTAGAACACTGGATGTGTGCGCAATTTGTGCGGGAGGTTTAGCGTATACGCAAGTCCCTTCTTGGCCGTGACCGTAAACGGTCCAATAAAGCGTGGACGCAACTTTGTCTTGAAGACAGCAGACACTACATTTGTAGGTAGATTTTTAGCATTGAGTAGTACTTGGTCTCCGACCTCATAAAGATCAATGCAATTTCTGCCTTTGGCATCAGCTTGTTGTTTTTGGGTATCTTGGCTATCAGCCATTGCGTCACGCACATGTCTTAAGACATTTAATCGCGTTGCGAGAAACTCGCCTACCTGTTTTCGAACAGTAGCAGGGCCGATATCAGCAAGCCGATCGGCAACCTCTCCCCCCACCAAGCCCTGATTCACGTAGTGATAGCGTTAACGGAACGCGAGGGTGGCTGAGACCGTTTATGTAGAACGGAGTAAAGCCTGTTGAGGCATGAACAGCGTTATTCAACGCGAACTCAATAACAGGGAGCATTGAGCTCCAACGCCTATGCGTACCAGCGCAAATACTGCGCAAAATGTCGTTGATGACGCGGTTAACACGCTCAGTTTGACCGTCGGTCTGCGGATGATCCACTGTGGACATGTCCAACCGAGTGCCAAGCACCTTAAAGATAGACTTTCAAAACTTCCCAGTGAAGCGGAGGTCTCTATCAGAGATAATTGCCACCGGCAAGCCATGTTGGTGAAACACACGGTCGATAAACAGCTTTGCTGTACCTTCGGCATCGAAGCTATCCGGTACATCCGCTAAGTGAGCCATCTTGCTTAATCGGTCAACATATACCACAATACCAGTGTCGCCTTCCAAATATTTCGGGATGCCAAACACAAAATCCGTACTCATGGACTCCCAACAACCAGTAGGTACTGGCAAACTAGCCAGCGGCGCCGCCGCATGTGCCGAGGGTTTTACCCGTTGACACGTTTCGCACGTACGCACATAGGTGTGCACCCACTTATAAAGTTTGGGCCACCAATAACTTTGGCTCACCGAGCTATAAGTCTTCTCACGACCGAGATGACCACTTAAAGCAGTATCATGTCCCTCATAGAGGATTCGATACTTTGATTCCTCATCATGAGATACTACGATACGAGGGTTATCCTCAATATCCGTGCGATAGCACAACAGGCCATTATCAATGGAATATCGATATAGCCTCGCACAAAAACGTGCCGACAACTCGATGTCCGAGTCTCTAAACTCATCGCTCCCAAGATCACGTAGCAAAGCTACACACTGATCGTCCTTGGCATATGCCGCACAAATTAAGTCAGTGACTGACGACAAAAGAGTCGTAACATGAGCAAGCTCATAGTCAGTTCGACGCGGTAGCGCATCAGCCAAAGCCTTTTGCTTACCTGGCTTGTACTTCACCTCGAAGTCATATTCGGCAAAGAAGGAAAGCCAACGAGCCAATCTCTGCGAGAGATGAGGCGCCTGTGTCGCATTGCATAATGACGCATGATCTGTATCGATCACAAACGGCTTTGAGCCAAGCAGATGTACTCTGAATTTGACAAGAGCGTAATTCATTGCAAGTAGCTCTTTGACATGAACAGGATAGTTCTTTACAGCAGCTTTCAGCTGCCGAGACTCGAATGCGATGACGCGTTCGCGTCCATCGACATCTGTTTGTAACAGAGCACTGTCTATGGAAAAGTCAGATGCGTCACAGACGACACTGAAAGGCCGACCAGAATCGGGCAAAGCCAATATTGGCGCATGAAGGAGACTCTCCTTACCTGCTTCAAAAGCATTATGTTCGGTGTTACCCCAACACCAATTCACATCCTCTTTAAGGAGATTGGACAATGGCCGAGCCATATCTGCGTAATTTGCACTGTACTCATGTAAGTAATTTGCAAGGCCAAGCCACTTACGCAAGTCCTTTCGGTCCTTAGGATACGGTCAATCGACTATGGCTTTTACCTTAGCGGGATCCGCTCGAAGGCCTCGCGTCCCAATGAAGCACCCTAGAAAGGGAATCTCTTCTGCACAAAAGATGCACTTAGATGCGTTAGCATACAACTTATTCGTTCGCATGCACTCGAGCACAGCCCGTAAATGATCGATGCGGTTATCCACATCTGATCGCCCATTCATTGCACGACTATGGACAAAAATTTCATCAAAGTACGTTTGTGCATAGCCTCGATGAGGTCTGAATAGTTGTGTTACCAACCGGTTAAACGTAGCCGGGGCGTTAGATAGCCCTTGTGGCATAACAAGCCACTCCCAGAGCATAACGCTCGGAGTACTCACCGCTGTTAGCGGAATATCACTTGCTCGCATACGCAGTTGGTAATAACCATCGACTAAGTCGAGTGCACTGTACAATGTACATCCTGCCATATTGTTCTGAAGCACATCCTTTCTAGGAAAAGGCGTCTACGCCGGTACAGTGGCTGCATTAAGCTTATTATAAGCATGCACAATACGCTACTTGCCATTTGGCTTTTTGACACAAAATGTCGGTGTTGAATGGGGAGACTTGCTCTCACGAACCATTCCAGCCGCGTGCTTAGCACGAAAGAATTCGTCAATGACGTCACACTGTTCTTTAGGCAAAGGCCACTGCCGTGTTACACAGTATTTAGTTCCAGGAACTAAGTCAATTTCATGACGTACACCTCTATCGGGAGGTAAGGCAGAAGGTGGGTTGTGACACACCACATCTTGAAATTACTGAACTAAAGGATAGAACGAATCCAAAGGATCTTCAAGGATCGACGATCCACTTCGTGAACTAAGTACCGCCTTTGTATCCTCTAGGACAGACTCATCCATTAACGAGGAAAGATTCAACTCAGTATCAGGTCTAATGACCGCTAACTCGGATAACTCTTCTGTCTTCAAGGCCTGGACAAACTCTCCATCAGACGTTTCGTCTAGATCACAAAGAGCGTCCACAGATGGAAGGGTGTCAAGGCAAACACTGCCATCAACCCGACCAGTCACTCCATGAACAAGTGTATATAGTGTATTACTATTATCACTATGTGACTGTGAGGAAGCCTGGCGCTTAAAAGTTGCTACCCGGCGTCTCGATCGTCTCTTCGATACCTTACACCCCTTAGGGGTCGGGGCAATATTGTCCCCATAGTTACTACCAACCATTTTACGCTCTATACGAGAGCTTTTGTCTTGACCGATATCCGGTGAAGTGATACACAACTCGAACACTTCACCCAGTGGATTAAAACGTGCCACTTCACGGGTAATATGCGAACCTAGCCCCAAATTTAACGGCGTCTCCCCAAATAGATTATTACCGACATTAGGTGTGGTCCCCAAAAAGATTATTACCGACATTAGGTGTGGTCCCCTCACGGCCGCCCACGCTATATGGCGAATCGCCAACAACGCCATTACCGGCGTTAAGCGTGGTGCCTTCACGGCCGCCCACAATAAATGGCGTATCGCCAACAATGTCATTACCGACATTCAGTGCGGTGCTGTCACGGCCGACCACACTCGGTGTAGTTTCACGTGCCACCATACACACATCAAAGGAATCACATCCTTGATAACTCGGCCCCTAGGCCAACCATGCTTTCAGCATGCTGTGACTCGTTATCACAGTGAGTAACACTCAACGGAGTACGTGCCGTTTCACTAGCCGAGCTAGGCTCGAAACTTATGTTTGTAACATTGGAGTTAGATAACTCAGACATTCAAATATCCAGCACATTGACATCTTCTGTCAGAGGCTCGCGCCAATAGCGCTTCTTTTGCCTAGCGAAGGTGGGTTCATGACTCTCCAAAGCTTCGCTAGGAGCATTGCGCGTAGCGCCTTAAGTCTTAGACCTTTAATCGATCCTTGAATCATGGCGTTCAAGCCAAGCCATACCTAGGATGAGATCATATCTCAATTCCAAATCTAGGACAAGACAGCGCTCAAAACTGTCAAAGTCTAAAAACTTTATGTTTAAGTTCAATGTAAATCTAGGCACAGTAACACGACTTCCAGTCGCTAAACGAACCGTGAAAGAATCACCCTCATGCGCTGTAAGCGCCTCAGCATACTGTTGAATTCCATGAAGGGAACGACGTCGAGAATAATTGCAAGACGCTCCAAAGTCGATAAATATCGACCACGGCCTCTCAAAGCCCTTTTTTCGTCTCAGCGACTAACAAGCCAGGCTCCATACCGATAGGTACAGAGCTCTTTGGGGCTAAGCTCTGTTTAACCTTACCTTCTAGATGTGTGACGGATGCCAAATCTTCACCGGTAGGGTGCCCCGCGCCTACTGGGTCTCGGAATTTCTTTGTTCCATGCCAGACTTATGGATCGGGGTTGAACGTTGTCTTGTAGCCTGACGCAGTTCACGCAAAGGGTAACCGTGCTGCAATTGTTTAGTGCTTTCGCACGTTAAATATCATCGTACGACGTGTTCTTCTCAGCAGCTTGAAGTTCGACTTCACCTTCATCTTCAGCATAGACGACATCTATGGGTTCCGGTCTGTTAAGGGCCGGACCACTTGTGGAGTTTGCTCTCGCAGGGCTAGGGTTGTAACCATTCTAGCCAAGCCTAGCCGACTTGAGGTTATGCTCAGCATTAAGAGCAATTCTCACAGCCTCTTCAAGCGTAGAGGGGTGAACCCGAAAAACCTCGGTTCTGACAATGCCAGAACTTAGCCCTTCCGTGAAGATAGTCACATGGACTGCTTCAGGCAAAGCGTCAGACTGCATTGCAGCCATGAGCGTTCGCATCTCTTGGACATAGTCCGATAATTCATTCTTACCCTGGCGGGGAGCCAAAAAGCGTGACCGCATGCGGTAAGCCTGGTTAGGTGGAGAAAACACCTGTACCAATTGTGACTTGAGCGACTCCCATGTGGGAAACGCTATGTCCACCGACGTGCTACACGTCGAGGCCCATTCTCTAGCTCTTCCATCGAGCTTCGAGATAGCCAGCGAGACCTGTTGATGGTCAATCGTGATCAGGCCTGATGTCATGGCCATCT